GCCCGGGATGCTTGTTTGAGCATTTGTAGCCTTTTTGTGTTCTCGACTCGATGGATATATTTTGAAAATCAAAGTGGAAAATATCCAGTTTTATCGAAAAGGCAATAGAGACATCTGCTATAATTTCTGGTGCAAATGGCGTATGAGAAAGGAAAAACAGACTGGTAGCATTTAAGTCCGTCCGTTGTTTTCCTTTGATTGCTTGAATTGGTCACTCTTAATGAATCCCGATTATTCATTGCCATTGCTGTGTGTTCTGTCGCTGAAGCTCTCCCAGTAAAGTGCAAACGAACAGGGAAGATAAATGACTTAAGGAGATTATGGGACAAGAAATGGTGGTGAAGACAACAGCTCATAACCTTTGTTATGGTTAGCTGTTTTTATTTGATTAAGAGGCCGAAGGTACATATATTGTACATTTTAAACAGTGTTAGCATAATATGTTGTTGTAGAATATCCATCCATCTGACCATTACTATTTTTCCTAGTAAGGGTCATCGGGGCTGGAGCCTCCTCCATTGGACATTAGGCGAGAGGACAGGTCATCATTGTAGAATATTACACATGAAATCTGTTAATCAGAAATGAAAAGTCGCTTACGGACAAATTCCTTTCAAAAAATGCATTAAAAATGGCAATAATCCTGTTACTGCACGCATCTGACATTGTGTTAATGCTTATCCAGTTTAGCTGCAGTCACACTGCTAAAGACAAAGCATATGTGCAGAGCATTTTGATTTCCTGGACAATGCAGATGGATGAACATGCTGTGTGCCCTTGCTTCTTGTTGCTGCAGCAGGTGATGTGAAAGGAAAATTAATCATATTAAGATCCTGAAAACTGTTAAGACTTAAGTGTCAAGTCAGTAGATGACAGGAACTTTCTTTTTATCCTCCACTGAATATGATTATACAGATTTTCTCTTTTCCACTATCTCACCTTTAAATATGTACTTCTACACTAGTACACTTCTTCCCTGTTCCCCCGATTGGAGGGATTCTCATTTAATACACTGTTGTGCTGAAAGAGAAATGAAAGGTTGAAAGTAAGTCTGCCGATGTCCTCTACACTCACTTTTAATGCATCACATTTATACCCACTGTCATTCATCCAACACTCAGCCAGACTGGCATTTCACCTGCTCTTGTTACGACTTTACTTCTCGACCTTCATCCTCGGTGGAGCTCATGTGCTTTGTATTGCATATGTAACTCTCAAGCATACAAGATTCTCCACCACTCACAGGAAAACTTGATTTCCAATGGGAAATCAATGGGAACACATCATAACATATTGTCACAAACAGATAGAACTTGAAACAGTAATGTTTTGTTCAAAAATCAATAATTTGTGAAAATTGTCCTGCTACAGTGATGTTCAATATTGTCTTTATTGCATTTTTATTCAACTTTTACCAAGATAGTGAAGGTTTTCCCTTGTGAAAAGATTCTTTCTAGGTTTACATTATCTGTAAGTTAAAGTCATATAAATATTAGTCTTGTAAAACATAAAGAAAGTATATAACTTGATGACTGGGAATATTTCCAGCAGTGTCCAAACACCAGGATTCTGCACCATCTGCAAATATTTAGAAGAAACAGTTGTTTCCCTCTGAGCTGATACATCCAAGGTGTACGGGTTAGACAACACTATAGCAGTAAAGGCATCACCGTTCTTCGACAGCAGGACAGAGTTTCTGCAAAGGCCCGACCGAACCTTCAATCATCCAGCTACCTGGCAACCGCCGTCCCCCCACTGCTCCACTCCTACCTTCATCTTCCTCTCCCACCTCCCCTCACTCTTGCTTCCTGTCAGCTCCCATCAGCCTCCCCTCTGTGATGCTCAGAGAGGAATTTTACAGCTGCTGTCAGCTTACTATTCACGCACACACACACTGAGCACACGCATACATTCATGCTCAGGCTCATATTCGAACCTGTGCGCACACTTACATAAATCACATAAGAGAGCTTGCACACAAACTCACATATGCCTACCACAAGTGTGCCCTCTCGTGCACACTCGCACATGTGTTGCATTGATGACAGCTTCAGACGGCTAATTAAATGAGACCATGGAGTGAAAACTACCTGGATAGAATAAAGCAGAGAGAAACTTCAAGACCTGCATTGTGAGATTTCTTGCTGAGAGATAGATTAGAGGATCAATATCATTCTCCACAGTCTGGACAGCAAAGGCAACAAAATCTTCCTTCCACCACCTCTAAATCTCACTAATTAACACATCAGATCTTGTTTGTTCAGCCTGCACAAAAACAGAATTTTAAAAGTGACGATTCATCATTTAAAACCATTTGGCTTCGACCAGTTGCCAAGAAACCAGCAGAAACTTAAGAAATTGCTGTTTCTATACTTGTTTTTTTGTGTGGCTTAAGTAAAGAAGAATTACCTCAGCTAATGCCCAATAGTCTCACCGATCACATTTGAGCAGGCTTTAGTTGCCTTCAGGTAAACACATTGACCGGCTCTCAGCTCTTCAATTCACCTGCATTCATATGCAGATGGCTGTCAATAAAGATTAGCCAAAATCCTGTCTGGACGTAAAACACCCACAAAAACTATTGTGCTTTGCTTGGATAAGCATTCAACCCGTGTGCACTGGTCGGACTGTAAACATTGTAGTAAACAGAAGCCCGAGTCTTGGCCTTTATATCTGTCGTCTACAATGGAAGCCCCAAAATTTTGGCCAGAGGCTAATTCATCCCAAGACAATAGCCGATTGGCTCAGAGAACATCCATCTCCTTAATATACCTGATTTTTTTTCTCCTCTTACAATTTCAAAGAAAGAGATAAAAGAAAATATGGACCTATCCCTTAATTCAGATTCATGCCAATATTCAATGGATTCTTTCTTGACTTATGTCCAATTTTCATGGCAATCAGTTTAGTAGTTTTTACCACTGCTGACAAACAACAGACAGGGCAAAAAATGCAACCTCCTTAGTGGAGGTAATAATTTGTGACTTCAGTGACAGCTTCATACTTTAGGGCAAAGACCTGTCAGTGGTATCAATCTTCTCATCCAACTCCTGATAAGAAAGCAGTCTCCAGTGTGTGTGTGTGTGTGTGTGTGTGTGTGAGAGAGTGAGTGTCTGTGTGAAAATCTCGTTCTGTATTAAGAAGCCAAATTGTATGAATGTGTCCAAAATAAACTGAAGCCCTGTGTGTGTGAGACGACACGCCTAGTGTGTGTGGAAATACATGTGAAGGAATGTGCCGCTCTTTTGGCTCTGTGCATCCCGAGATGATATTGAAGACAGGTGATCGAGCAGAGAGTCGAGCTGGAGGAGAGACGTAGCGGGCAGACAAACATGCGGTCAGACAGACAGGCAGTCAGACTGAGGGGCACGGCTACAGCAGCTCAGAGGGTCACAGGTCAGATCACTCACGGCAGCTCAGCTCAGCTTGGACTCGGGGGGGGTTCCCTATGCTCAACACCTTCAAACAATGCAGCGTCCTCTCTATATTTCTGCAGTCTGCCACTCTAGCTCCACATGCTCGACCCCCACGGGACAAAAAATGAAGCAGCAGAAGACTGTACATCACAACACTGACTGTTTCACAGCTCAAACATCTGGCAGACTCCCAATCAGCTGTGTGTGTTTGCAGAACAAATATATATAGAGATACGACTAATGAGTAAATAAGCGACAAGCATTTTTCCCATACATTCACATGGTGCAGAGTGGGTATTGGATTGCACCGTGTGCACACATGTGGGGGGTGGGATAGGGGGTTGCCTAAAGGAGGAGGGGGTGATTTAACTCCAGCAGCAGCTGACACTGTAAAGATTACCTGAGCCTCCAAACATGTGGTGGGAGTTCTCGTCTGTGGAAAGCTGCATCCAGGGGGAAAGTCGGTCATTTGGTTTTGATATCACCGCATTGTCTCATTTATTCCCTCCTCTTACAGATAAATCTTTTAATGCTGGACCCTGTTGCTGAACTAACATGACACAGGCTGTTTGGCAGATGCATCGAACCGTTTGTGAGGAACAAACCTCTCAGAGTGTCCCAGAGAGCAGAGATGTCCCCTCAAGCATCCGCCGCTCAGTGTAATTTGTCATAGAGGCCGTCTCTCATTGCTCTTTCTGAAATGCTGAAACACAACACCAGAGTTTTCTTTACACATTCTGGGACTGCATGACAATCTGCTCAGCTGGCTAGCAAACAATTCAGTTATTTGTAAAATGACAAATGACTCCAAGGCCCCAGAAATTAAAGAAAATATTGCAGCAATAGATGCAGGCTGAAACTTATGGAACAGATCTTACAACTAGGTGGAACTTCATGCACCATCATATTTACAATCACCTCTGATTCCCTTTACTCTCATCCAGATATTCTGACCAGGAGCCAAAATAAAAAAGATCACACCGTAAACTGTCACACATTTATTTCTCCTGCCACACAGCAGAAAAGCTCATCTGGTTTTCTTTTGGGGAGGATGAAATGCTCCAGAATATGAAACAAGCGCTCCCAGTTCTTTTGGCTCCCACACTCGTGTATAAGCACTTCCATGAATGATTGTGGGGAGTTGGGAAATGTTGGCCGGCTGCCTATCAGTGCAGCTGCGGAATACAGGGGGAGATGGGAGAATGACGAGCGGATTAAACAGAGGTCGGGGGTTACATTTCAGACTGTAATCCATCATAAATTACTGATTACCTGCTGCAGGGTGTAATCTGCAGATCGAGTTTGGGCTACGGAGCCCAGACTACTGAAATTCACAAAAAAAACAATTTTCATGCCTGGGCATCAAATGAGCTGAGGTGGAACCAACACAACCATTTGTTATTGCAGGTCATATTATGAGATGCAATGTGTCACCTAAATGTTCTGAACCCTGTCTCACTGCACAGGTGTCCAATTTGATTGGCTGGAGAGGCTGTACTTAACACCCACACCTCAAAAAACACACACACACACACACACACACTCTGACACACACAGAGAGAGAGAGAGAGAGAGAGGGCGAGGGAGAGAGAGTCCCCAGCAGCCTTGTGTTCAGTCAGTGCTCTGACTCGGACTCGGACTATATGACTCAGTCTTCATAGAGAGAGTCTGCTATTGCCAAGCCTAGAGGCAGCCCTATTTAAGACAATCACATGATTTCAGTGGGAGTCAAAATGGTCCGCGGGGGTCAACGGGTGGAGAGAGAGAGGGAGCGCGTGTGAGACAGAGAGGGAGAGAGAGAGAGAGAGAGGGAGCGCGTGTGAGACAGGGAGAGAGAGAGAGAGAGGGGGACGTTAGTGGAATTTAAAAAAATGACTTGCCGGGAGAGAGGAGTTGAGTTCATGCGCTTTGCTGCTCAGGGATTTTACGCATGATGAAATGAATGGAGACTAAACAACTAAAAAAGCGTGCGTCTGAAAGTCGTTGATGCTTCATTCATTACAACTCCTGCAGAAGTGCTGCTCCTGCTCCTGCTGCTCCTGCTGCTCCTGCTGCTCCTGCTCTTGCTCCTGCTCCTGCTGCTCCTGCTCCGGGTGCTGGTTGTGCTGGTGGTGCACTGGTTTATGAGGAAAGTGACCGTGTGGCACAGGGTCCAGTGTCTTTGGGGCTGTGGGTGATCCACAGACATGACTTTCTTTCGGATTTGCGCAGCGTGGAACAACTGGACTGTGCTCTTCTTCCATCTCTTTTGTTTTTCCACCCTGGGCAGAGTAAGTCAGATTTTGTTCTTGCACATGCACGCAGAGCTCACAAACTTCATATGACAAAGTGAGGGCTATTTTCTCGTGATCATTTACTCAGTCCTCCCTTCTCTTGCAGAGCTTGACTTGGAGTAATGGTGCTGACGGTGCAGAATCCGAGAGGGAAGCATCGGCTCTACTCCGATTTCTCAATTTACCTGAAAATACAGGTAGGAGATGTGTGAAGTGGTGCATGAAACATAGTGATTCTAAGCTTGTGATTGCAGCCTGTTTATGTGAGAGTGCAGTATGTTGGAGAACAAGGTTTAAAAGCAACAGTAAAGTCATTCACATCCCTCAAAGCGTCAGCAGCATCAGACCGCGCTCACCTGCGCTTGTGTTTGGCCTCTCTTCACCGCTAGGGGGCGACCTGCACCCTGACACAGAGCCATCACTGTGTGCTGCACCAGATGAGCTGCAGGCTGGAGAGAAATGAGGAATTAACTAGTAAACATTTTTAAATAGATGATTCCTCTTAATGAAATTCAGTTTAATTTGTGGAGGCAGTTAAAAGAAAAGTGTTAAAATTTGTAAATGGCTCCCTCATGTTTGTGCACTTAAATTGTAATATGCCACTGGGAAGATAAACTTAAAAAAAAGATGCATTGAGGTTTAATTTAGCTCCTTATTCACTTCATTAGTGCGAGCAGGAAGTGAGACTTTCATCTGTTGTTCGTTTTGTGGATCTAACCCCATGTGGTGTGCTGAGTCAGCAACTGCGTTGGCATTTTGCGATCTTTTGGTTTCTGTTGTTTGTTTGTTTTTGGTTTTATGTTCTTTTTTTAGTTACCACGAATAGCAGACACACAAACAAATATAAAAACTCCATTCACTGCATGGGCACATGTGGAGATGATCTAAAACATGAGAGAGAGGGGAAACCCTCATTTCTGTTTCAGATCATCTCGCAGTCAGTCGCTTTAACAACTTCACTGCTCAGCATGTGTGTTTAACATTCATGCAAGTGGATGAGGAAAGAGTTCACATGCTCGGTCTTTTGCAAAGACGAAGCCAAGGTGCCCAGTGGTTAGAGAGTCTATCAGGACTAATGGCATTCAGGAGCTACTAAACCAACAAACTAACCACTGCAGGATATTGTCACAGTCCAGCAGACAAGCCTGTTTGTGTGTGTGTGTGTGTGTGTGTGTGTGTGTGTGTGTGTGTGT